GGTTTGGCCAGTGACTCTGAGCTCTATTGAGGAGACTCAACAAGGTCGAAACGGCTAGCTGTCCGGAGATTGAGTAATTATCCAGATTCTCAATCTTTAAAATACAATCGATTTACCATGTGAGGTTCATTCACCATCCGTATAGGGCTCAATTTGCCGAAGGCAAAGAGCGGAACACACACAACAAGAAGGACGAACAGTTGCAATGCTGTAACTCTGAAAAGAAAGACATTATTTAATTTGTTTTCAGGGAGTCTGATTTAATTGCAGGTGCATGTAGCTGGCTGCAGGGCGCTGCAGTCCCAAAAAGAGAAGCCCTGCTGTAATTAGCTGCTAGCCTAGCACATGTAGTACATGTAACGAAACACGACAATGGCCACTGCCACCCAATCACAGCATTGTCCAGAGAAGGCAAAGCCACAGAATTAATAAGTGAGAATGTCACACACACACACAAAGCACATCTTAAGCCACATGTCACTGATGCAATTTGAACGTAACCAGATACGCTGACAGGACGTACCCACGCAGACTCTCATAGTATTAACACCAATACACAGCAAACAGCAGAGAAGCTAAGGTACAGCCTGGATAGATTATTGACCAAGCCACAAAACCTCTAGCAAACTGCTACTGCGCTCGATGACGGAACATGATCGCACCAATTGCACAGACGCAGATTGTCATCTCCACCAAGGCACCAACATCAACACCGGGATCCGGGCACACCATTGGGTACATCCACCAAATGTGAGCACCGTTTTGTCAAAACAAGTCACTCCATCAGCTCAGCACCAATGCGTCCCCACCATCAGCCCAGAACAAAGCCAAGACCAAACCGAGCTAACGACAGGTTGTCACGGGACGCTTAGCAAAACACGAAATAAGACCCAACGTGACTGCCCAGAGTGGCTGACAGCTGACACTGCCACAAATTCAACTAAGCACAACACACCTCTACCACTATTAGCACCAGTGATATCATCGCCATCACCATCGCACAAACATGCTTCCAACTTGGAATGTACACCAAAGGCAGCTCTTGATGGCAACGCAAAGGGTTCTCAGCGGATCAAGTTTCTCTAGTTTCCACATATAGCAATCTTTCATTTTCTCTCTTATTCTCCACAAATAATTAGATCACTAACAGTCATGTGATACCTTAAACAGCACGACAACATGACTAGTTTCTCAAGTGTTTCCTTCTTCTTAGCATTATTACAACATGCCCACTTGCAAGTATTAGTAACTCCAGGTCTGATTGGCAGTTGCGGAGAACTGTTTGGTCTTCTTATGCTCCTCGTTATGGATATAACATTGGTCTTCAGTGTTGTTGTTGTTGTTGTTGTTGTTGTTTGTGGTGGTGGTGGTGTGCTTTTGTCACAGTCAACCTTGTGAACAACAACCTCGGGTATAACAACAACGCCTGAATGACAACAAAATCTTCAGACCTAGTGACCGTCTGACTACATACTTTCAACCCGGCGAATAACGACAACTCACTCTGACTACATACTTTCAACCCGGCGAATAACGACAACTCACGCATAACGGCCCTTTTTGTCACTCATGATCGATGGTCGATATATTCGCAAGGTTGACTGTAGCAAAGTTACGACTGCACGTGTACAGCACAGAACATGCCTACAACAGGACCGAGCGCGACAATTAACTCCGCACAGGACCACGGCCAACAATGCTCACAGATGCACCAACGTCTATGGCGCCAGCCCACACACATCGCGGTAACATTGACCCCACACCGCCAGCACATCCACAGCCAATTACCAACACCACACCGACAGGGAACAATCAGTGCGGAAGACTAATCACCCAGAAAGTGAGAACGCAATATCAATGTAACGACATCGCACAGCAGGACGCAGTCAACTGACACATTATCAGTGTCACTATGTCTCTATCTGACGCAGTTGCCGATCATGCCACCGTACCATCAGGTCTAGAGCTATCCGAGATTGCAAGACAATACGACACAACGGAATTACTCCTTCCTACAGTGATAGCTGTCAAAACCAACATGTCAGCCTGTCTCCGAGAAAGGAAACCATGTGGGGTACTATTCAAGCAAGATCAGTTCACGCTCCATGCTACCAGTACTGTCCGCAATCTCGACAAGTTCAGTCTACCCGGCCAGGCTGACCCTGAAACTATAAACACACGCACAGGACATGCATACCTGAGCACCTTAGCAGCACTAACGACTGCCACTGTCCTGGGTTCTACATTATCCTACAGAGATAAGGCCAAAGTGTCAGCTGACAGAATTGCTTCCCTGCCACTTTTAAAACCCTGCCATATGGCACAGAGCTGATATCAGACACCCTAATCACAGAGCTGATATCAGACACCCTAATCACAGGTGAGCTGATAAAACCATACTCCCCAGGAAAATCAGCTCTACCCAGGTACGCAGTCAAGCACGCATGTGTGAGTGAGCCACACCACCGACGTACCGTACCATGGGAATTGACTTAGCCAACTCTCGCAGTGATAACAGTACACGTGTGTGTGTATGTGTGTGTGTGTGCGTGCGCGCGGGCGCGTGTGTGTGTTTCTGCAGCAGAGCTTTAATATTCCGAATTTCACCAATCCGACCCCAGTGATACAAGGCCTCTGTGTACAGCGCTGGGAAATGCTCGACTACAGATAGACACCCAGCGGAGGGCCGTCTGAGGTCTCCCTATCACACATTGCCCATTCCCTTGCGCTGACCCTGCCCTATCTCCAGCGGTACAGTAGATGGTGCACGTAGTAAGATAAGGATTCGTGGAGCAAGTCTCGGATTCATAGAGTAAGTACGCGACCTCCACCGTAATTACCTGCCTTATCTGATATCGTTCACGTGCACTACATGACGATGATGTAGAGTGGTAGTCTAGAGATCGCTGTCATGTCACTGACAACGGAGATAACACTGTAACTGCCCGAGAGGGTATTGGAAACACGTGTACGGCAATCTGATGCTGAGGACAACATCAAGCTGCCTGAGACACATGTAGGTACGGGAACTGCATTCAAGACTGCATAACATTTGCGTTCAAGGCTCAGTGCGGGCAGTTGCTAAAATAAGACACTTGAATGGTCTAATCGGCACTGGAAGATAATCTGAAACTGTCCACCTCTCCACAAAGCGCTCTTGGCCCACATTCACCGCACCACAGCGAGGAAGCTCGTTCTTGGATAGATGCTCCACAGATACTCACTCCTTGGGTGGCCGAGTTCGTCGCAACTTCTGAGTAATTAGCACTGGTGGTGGTTTATCTCCAACTTCTGAACAAAGGTCAACAGCATGACGGCACGTGCCGAGCAGAATGCATGTCACTACTGTGACGAAAGGCTCACGGATCATGAGGAGGTGGTGACAGTGGGGGACGGCAGGATACGGAAACACCACCTCGGCCATAATGCCATCGTGACGACACACGGGTAGTCGAGTGCATCGCTGACATCCAGCCATTCGTCACAGACTCCCAGCATAATTACCGACTACGCAGGAATCTTGTGACTGGCGCCACGAAAGCCAGTGAAAGACCAAAAACTATACAACGTACGAATCAGTCAAGCCCTTCTCGCTAATCAGCGTCCATTGGACTGACAATGCCATACTTGATTGTGAGAATACGACATGAACATGGAACAAGACAAGGCTATGTCATCTGTCACCTTGTCACACACTTTATTAATTTACCGTGCTCTACTTTACCGTGCTACACACACACACACACGCGCCCACACAGAGCGATTAGCGAGGAAGGTCACTTCTCCCCATCAATAAAGAGGTGAGCTCCAATGAACATCCTGTTTTCTATCACCAAATCATGCACAGCAACTACTTAACGCCGCCGCCGCCGACAAGTTCCATCATGATCTGAGCACTGAAAACAAGCACGCTTCTGAAGGAGAGCTCAGTACAATGTTGTTCACTATAGTATAGGCTCTTCTGCACAGGCTCTTCACTGGTCGCAATCCACGATCATCTGCTACTCCAGAATGACAAACCCTGCAGCTGTGGCAGCATGTGAAGTTTTCACCCAAGCTTAGCTGACAGTCATGGGCCGGTAATGTGTTATCTCAGCATCATACATGCCTGACACTCACTCTCCACAGTGTGGACACTGAGGCCAGGTACAAACGAGCAGGAGCAGCAATACCAGCTGAAGTCGGCAAGGCTGCTGCAACTGCCCATCTACAAGTACATGTACTGGCATCACGAAGAGTGCACACCGAGCAAGCTAAACATGACAACTGCATGGTGGGTATTCCCCTGGTCACATGAAAATATCACAAGCACAAACAATTCATGTGTGGACTGTGGAGACACTGACTGATGCAAGTCATACTGTATCAGTAGAAATATTCGTCTGGAATTTAATGAAGTAGAGGTTGCGACTTCGGCGATGATTTTGTTTAGGAATGGGTTTGCTCCCACACTGGAGCTTGCGCTATTCCGCCGACGACTTGACACTTGACTGACTCACGACTGCCATCCAGAATTTAATTTCGTCTTTATCGTCCAAGGTGCTTTTGGACTAAATTAAATGCCGGACTATTAAAAATAAAATGTCGATTTGTCCAGCTTTTCAATACACTCTTATGATCCATGGACGAAATTTACAACCGGACGAACTCCCTTTCTTTGGAGTTGGACGATATTATTGACGGACGACATTTTGTGCCTTTACAGCACGTGTGATGTGCGGACCTAGGTCTTGTGACAATTTCCCTGTAAAGTCTATCATGTCATGTGACCTGTCATGTGATCACCGCGTACATGATAGGTCAGCACTGTACATGTACATGGCATTGTACAGTCCTGCTCAATGAAATCCAGTCACGGCACACAAGTTTGCACCTTGCACCATTTCGAATCCCAGTGTTGGCAGGTCGAGGACTGCGCAACGCCCGGCGCGTACTTGAGTGCATCGACTGGATTTCATTGAGCAGCACTGTAGTAGTAAACGGCATTGAGATGAACGTACCTCGCAGAGCGCCATATCGGTGAGGCTCAGCTTGGCCTGCTTGAGCGCCTGCTGGAAGGCTGTGACGGGACCGATGCCCATGACGGTCGGGTCCACACCGGACACGCCGTACGACACCATGCGTGCCAGCGGCGTCAGGCCGTGCTGCTTGACGGCCTCCTCGCTGGCCAACACCACTGCACCTGCACCGTCACAGATACCCTACATAGGGGTTGGTGGAGAGGAACAGGGACAGAACACAGGAATACTGTAAAACATGTAATTTTAGGTGCATTTAAAATTTCGGTGCCAGGGACCTGCCAGATTTCAGGTGTAATGTAGAATTAGGTTATCTTCACATACAGTGCATACTCTAGTGCCTTTTAGGTGTAATTTAAATTTAGGTGCCTTGTTTCTCTACCGAAACCGCCGAAATTAAAGCTACACCGAAAATGACATGTTAACCCTTTATGTACTGAAAAATTGTACACAGACTGAATTTGATCTCGACTCGCCTAAAATTCTTTAATTATCCGGGTCATAACTTCAGTCTCCTTTTCACGATTTTTTCAATCTTGGGCTTCCTGGAAAGCTCGTCGCAAGAGGAACACATTGAGCCCACGCTTGCCACCACGAAAGTCAAAACGCCAGCGCTACAGCCCAGCGTCTTAGCTGCAACACCAATATTCCGACAGAAGTCGTCTTGCATCAGCCATTTCGCTCTACTTGCTCGTAACAACTAACTGTTACTTCAAAAAAAATTCACAAACTGCCATGAGTCCGTTTACCATTTTGAACGTGTTTCTACGTCACTGCATGCCCAGAATGATGGGGAAATCCCTCATTCAAATTTGCGCGAGCGGCTATTGAGCGACATTTGCCGCGATTCGACTTTCGAGCTTCGTAACTCTGGAACCACACATCGGAGCGCTTCAGCGATTGTTTCAATGGACAGCTGGGAGTTTTGTAGTTGACCTACTGTAAATATACAAATTTTCGGCAGCTATTTAATTTCGGCTATATTCGGCACCGACCCAAAACGCCTAAATTAAAACGCCGATGAAAATTTTCACAGCATCTGTCGCACTATCATGCCCTCTACCCCACGCCGAAAATAAACCGCCGCCGAAATGTCAACAATCGTGAAGTGCCGAAATTTTGCAGCGCCGAAATTTTGTATATTTACAGTATATATTTTAATTTTCGGATATAACCCAGGAATGACTGAGTTACGATCGTTTGAAATTTTGAAAAGTTTCGATCCCAGGGGATCGAAAGTTGTACAGTCCGTACACAAAGGGTTAACACGCATGCACTCGCTATTGCAGACCAGTGGAGAGCACACATCATATGGAGGATTCATGGAGTGCTGGGCAACCGAATCTGGCATGTGATAATCATGTAGGATAGTCCACGCACGAGGTGCAGCCCAAGAAATGGGCACCCATGAACTGGGCGGAGTGTGGACGGCCTGTATGATAGTGTGTATGTATGTCCACGCACAAAGTGCAATGCCCGTTAGGAGGCAGGAATGTGGGAGTATGAGTGTGATGGCCGAAGGCCGTGATAATTGCCAGATGAGATGAGATAGCTGGCCCATGGTTGCCCAGCCTCCATGCTAAGTTGTGACATATTGCAATGCACGTGAATGACACTGTTGTTGCTATCAGCGCAGTTTGTCAGCACAATCCTAGCAGAGCAGGTTGCTGTGCTGTTCCAAACAGTCAGCCGTGTGGGTACATGCATGGGTGTGAGTTGTGTGCCCGCGGCGGGTTCTTACATACCTCAATGCGTTCTGTGATGCGTTTGTACCTCTGACAGCTTTTGGGTCAGCTGCGCCATGTCTGTGTCGGTGGTCCTGATGTAGCGCAAGACACTGTGCAATGTGTTAACCTACATTACCGCAAGCTCTAATGTGCTATTTTACAGTAGGTTGATGTTCAGTGTGCTTACTTAATCTGCGGACAGGACGGTTTCGCCCTTTGTGGACTAATCAGCGCAGGATAGGGAAAACGAGGCCGAACTTGATTGCAATGAAACATATTTTTTCCAAAGCCAGATTTAAACCAGGCTCGAACGTACCTTGCTAGAGTGCTCAAACGGACAGGTCAGTTAGCTCTTGCATAGAAATAGAAATAGTGTGCATGCTACTGTACACTGCCTAATGCTCGCGGTGTATTCATTTTCGCAAGAAGAGCATAACGCGAGTATTAACCTTCGTGAAATCAAACATCAACAGTGGGTGTATGTGTGTGAACACAGTGAGTGCTCCGCGAACATTGGGCGGTTTCCAGTGTCCTGAGTGTCTTGGAGAATTCTGTCAGTACGTCAGAAAACTAAGCTCCCTATCGACCAGTCTCTGCAGATGGGCTTCATTGAGTAGAGGTGGTAACTTGCTGTATTTTCTGGGGCATTACCCGTTCCCTTGTACTAACATAGCTGTAATCTCTCCATTTCTCTCAGCCCCCCCCCCCCCACGCAAGGGCTATAGTGGTATGTATAGCGTAGGATGTACTGGAATGCATGTTCTGGGCATGAGCGGCAGGGTGATTTCTGCCCGCTTTTCGGAAATAAAGGTGTAAGGTGTAACCGGGAGAATACAGCGAGCCCTGTTAGAACAGGTCACTTCCACAGAGGCTATGCACTAATATCAAGCCCTGTTAGAACAGGCCATTTTCACAGAGGCTATGGAGTATGCACTAATATCAAGCCCTGTTAGAACAGGTCATTTCCACAGAGGCTATGCACTGATATCGAGAGTATATAACCCCCCCCCCCCCCCCCCCCCCCCAGAGTGTGCAACTCTGTACATGGGGTCTCCAACGGCGAAAACTCACATCACGTGTCTCAGGTACGTTTCGTACTGCGTACAAACGAAGGATAGCGTGCGCGCAATCCGAATATCTGCCATAATCATGCTGGGGATTTGCATACCCGCAGTGAGTTTCTGTCAGAGATTGCTCTTTTTATTACTCCGCTGCTCGCCAAAAACGGCTTGGAAACGTACAACTGCGACACTACACCACGTGATGTGAGTTTTCACCGTCGGCGAAACCCATAGAAAGGGTATCAAGAGTTGCACACTCTTGGGGGGTTATATACTCTTGCTAACGGTGTAAGGAGTCTAAGGACTGTGGAGTGCCCGGGCACAATGGGGGAAACCAGCACCGGCACAACACCCAGTCGCAAGTGTACATGTACAGAATAATATGTAGGACTCAGTATAGAGTCCATGCACTATATGATGTCCAGCACCCTATATAGAGTCCATTGGTCCAAAATCCACTATACAGAGTCCAGGAGTCCACTCAGTTTTGATCAGCTTCATCCTGCCACGCAATCCCCTATAAGGACTTAATTAAGGAGTACACTTTTTCTACAAGTCCCCTATTCACGGTCCAGGAGTCCAGTTTATCCAGTCACGCCGTCCTGTACTGCTGTGAGTTGTGCCAAAAAGAGAACAAAAATATAAATACAGTCGTCCCCCTTTAATCCAGCACTTTATAAACCAGCATCCTCTATAAACCAGCACAATTTTCAGTTTCCAAAATGTCCTCTTCATGCACATTGCAGCAGTAAATCGGATTTGTTAATCTAGCACCCTCCCTAATCCAGCAGAATTTCCGGAGCACGAATGGTGCCGGGTTATAAAGGGACCACTGTACCCGAGCGATTGTCACACTCACTGAAGCGTTGGCAGCCGTCACTGTTCCGCCTTTCTTGAAGACGGCCTTCAGACTCGCCATCTTCTCCAGCGTGGACTCGGGACGAGGATGTTCGTCGGCAGAAAACTGCTCCGGTCCCTTCTTCCCCTTGACTTCGACGGGAGCCAGTTCTTCAGCAAAGTGACCGGCCTCGTGAGCTAAACACACAGAAACAAAAGACACAACCATGGCCGTCAAAGAACTTTGTAGGTTTGTTGTAGGCTCGTCGGAAATACCATATTTTCTCTAATACTGTAAAACATGCAATTTTAGGTGCATTAAAATTTCGGTGGCAGGGACCTGCCAGGTTTCAGGTGTAATTTAGAATTTGGTGACCAGCATTCCCTTCACATTCAGTGCATACTCTAGCGCCTTTTAGGTGTAATTTAAATTTAGGTGCTTGTTTTCACTACCGAAATCACCGAAATTAAAGTTACACCGAACATAGCATGTTTTACAGTACCGTATTTCTGGAGTACAAACCGCACTTTACACACTTGTAATTCACTCCAAAACAGTTTTATAGAGCTTAGTGTTTGCCAACCACGGCCGAAAATGAACAGCCACTCAATACGTGGAACCGGTGCGAGTGATCAACAATCAGGAATTCTTTTAAACGGCGACATGAGAGCAAGAGCATGTCAAGCCCTCCGATCCAGCTCAGGATCAGAGCGGCACACAGTGTTGCAGTAAGAGTTGAAATCGAGACGCTCGATGTCCAAGAGGATAGCACCAATACCGTTTACTACTTCAACAACCGCGCCGTGTCCCTGAAACGGGCAAGAGATGATGATGACGATGATGATGAGTATGCGCGCTTCGTACGAGGACAGCTGCTGCAACACTCGGAGCCGGTTGACCTGAGTTGAACAAGTAAGGCATTTTCGATACAGATGTAGACTCAATCGTCTCCGAGTGCTGTACCTCTTCAACTCACACCTGACGCTCATAGTCATCTTCATAGTTCTCTTCTGGGCTTATTGAACACTATTATCAAGAGTACATAACCCCCCAGAGTGTGCAACGCCTGATCCAGCTGCGCATAGGGTCTTGGCCGAGCGGAATCGGATCTTTGCATCATAATACCGTACACATCTGAGGGGAACCCGGGAAGTCGCGGGTACTCTCGGATCAAAAACAATAGTGCCCTGCCTCGAGACCGGCCTTGTGCTGGCGTGGAGTGTACGCATGACATCAGAAGATCCGATTCCGCTCGACCAAGACCCTATGCAGAGCTGGATCGGCGTTGCACACTCTGGGGGGTTATGTACTCTCTCTCTCTCTCTCTCTCTCTCTCTCTCTCTCTCTCTCTCTCTCTCTCTCTCTCTCTCTCTCTCTCTCTCTCTCTCTCTCTCTCTCTCTCTCCCTCCCCTCCCTCAATCTCCCTCCAGCAACTTCAACTCTATTCAGCATCATCACATTGCCTTTTTTTTAATGATACTCTGCATATGTCTGGTGCAAAATGATATACCCGACAAGTCAATTTCTTTTAGGGAAGAGGACGGGTTCGGCTTCTTGGAGACGTGCCTATAGAGCTTTTTCAAGGACGCCGTTCCCGCCACCGCCCCGGCGGTCACACCGAGATTGCAGTGAACAGGTCGCATGTCAAAACGCATTGAAAAGTATACGAAATGTGACAGGTTCGTCTCCACCAGGGCTTACAGCGATTCTGAAGCTTGTTCTTTTTCGCCCACGCCATGGAAGTGCTTCCTGGCAACTGCTCTGACTCAACACGAGTGTCAGACATCAAGTGGAGCGCCTTTCTACTGCTTTTTTCACCTCCACGCATCCATTCCCATACAAAGTGAACATGAACTGGGCTTTGCCTGTTCACCAGCGATTCAAAAAAATTCTCGCACGTGACCCCAAAAAGTGACAGTTGGAACAGCCTTGAAAAAGCTCTATATCGAATACTGTGCATAGTATAGTACCAGAGAAAAGGCGGTATATCAAAGTCTCACCCATCAGGGCATCTTCTTTCGCCGTGGCCTAGATTGTAATAGGGTGGAAGAGAGGATTCAGAGAAAGGGTGCAGTGCTGCTACTTGCTCCGATTTGTCAGGAACGCTGACGAGCCCTTGGAAGGGTAAGGGGTGCTGCCCTTTACCCCCTCCCCCCCCCCCCCTCATCTGCCCATCGACCCCAGTCGGGGTTGACTCCTTTCAGATTTCTAACGACAGAAACGTGGCAGCCCTGAGGGTGATGTATCGAACTCCGAAGACGAATCGAGACGGAGGTCTATGTGCAGTCATGTGCTCTTGGTGCTCAGATGTGCAAAAAATAAAGAGCACTGAGTCGGGTACGACCTCTGGTGACATTGCTCTTTTTTATTGTTTTTATTCCACAATCACGATGACATAGTGCCAATAAACATGTCATGCGTGCGAATTTAACCAGCCATGGTGGGGAAAACTGAGAAAAGAAGGCGAAAAAAGTCTCTTCAAATGACAAAGATCTCTTGTCCGGTAATTTGTTAGCATGTTCCTGATGGTGAAGATTTTTCTCATCATAAATCTACAGTTCTACATCATGCATACAATCATGATGATGGTTCATAGCCACGGGCGAACAGAGCACAACTATCACCAGTGAATAGTTTAACTGCTCTTCAAAGGAGTTGCAGTGAACGTGACAATGACGGCGTAAAGATGGCCAGGCGGTGACTTTCTCGCTACGTGTAAGGACATGTCTTCCTTGGACCAAAAAACTCACTACTTAAAAATCCGACCAAAAGACTAAGTGCAAAACTGGCGCCTTGCACCACTTCCGGTTACATCAGGGTACTTGCACATGTGTACGTCCAGCAGCATTCGTACCACGTCAAGGGCCGTGCAAGTTCAGGGCACCAAATATGCACTTCGGGTCGGATTTCACCGAGCACAACTGTACTTCTATCACACAGAGATGGATAGATGCTCGAAAGACAGAAGAAACAATATGTAATTCTCCTGGTCAAGCAGCACATACCCGCAGCCCAACGCGCTTGGCTCTGAAGCGCGAACTCGTCGCACTGCCCGCGTGTGATGCCATACTGTTCGGCGAGCTTCTCCGCTGTCAGCGCCATGGGCAGGTTGGCATAGGCATCGGTCAGACTGGACCAAAGCGTGTCCTCCATCTGCAGCAAAAAATCAAAAATCAAAAATCAAAAAGTGAGACTCAGGCCGAGTTTTCCACACCCATAGGAGCGCCACCAACCTCAAGGCTCAAGGCGAAGATGCAGCTCCTAAAGCGGTGGGAGGCGAGTACATCAAACCCACCACCGAAGTGGTCATAGGCCGAAAATAAGATCAAAAATCTCAATATCCAACACCCAGGGCAAAGAACGAACACAGAAAGTGGCGAAGCGAGGCTAAAGCCTAAAGTATCACCAATGCCTGTAAAGTTGTTTCAATTGTTCAATCATTGCCCACTTTCCTTAAGGGTTGGTTCACATAATGTCGGCTTGCACCAGGATCGGGTATGCCTCTTGCAGCCTCTCCCGGCGGATTGCGGCTGTGTGTGAACCAGTACAATGCATACCATGATCACACGGTCAATCACCGGCGGTGCTCCGCTGGCTTCGGACCTGACCAGGAGCTGCTCAAACTGCAAGCTTTGCGCGAGGACAGATCACTTTGATGCTAACCAGAAAGAGGGTTCATATGTTGGATATACTACGGAGCTTTTGTGGATGTCAACTTTTCCAGCGAACTTACTTGAGTCGTCTTCCAGCAAATCTGAGTCATCACGTACCATTTCATACAAAACTGCACGGCAGTCGGCTGCATGCGGGGCACTTTGGTGGGTTTTGAATCTTCGAAAACTTGACGAAAAGTCGCCAACCCCACCTCTGTACGTGATGACTAATGACCACAAGAAAAGCTGACGCAAAGAAAAAAGTCGTCATGGGCCAAACTTAGCAACGCTGCACACTTTCGTTAATGTACTCTTGGTACAGTCGTCCAGCACTTTGTACAAACCCTCTATAGACCAGCATAATTTTCAGTAACCAAAATGTCCTCTACACACATTGCAGCCGTAAATCAGATTGCACCCTTTCTAAGGGGCCATCCGTAAATATAGATATTTATTTAGAAACGAAAACTAGTCGTTTAGGGGGGGAGGGGGTTGAGTGCCTGTTCGTTTCTCGAAAAAAATCGATATACATTTTGCATGGGTGAGCATGTCCAGAAAAAAAGGTCAAAAATATTGATACTATGCACCATTTGTACGTGTTCGTTTCTCAGGGAGGGGGGTTGAAGAGAAACGACTAGTTTTCGTTTCTAAATAAATATCGGTATTTACGGAAAGCCCCTAATCCAGCAGAATTTCCTGAGCACAAATAGTACCGGATTATTAAGGGACCGTCGCAGTGCAGCAAACAGAACTCATTGGCGTAGAATGTACAGTGCTGCGCAATGAAATCCGCTCGCGCGAGTCAAGTTTGCGCCCTGCACCATTTCGCAGCCCAGTACTCGCAGGCCAAGGGCTGCACAACACCCGGGGCGTACTTGCGCGACTTGACTGGATTTCATCGAGCAGCTCTGCAGTACTACCACTAGCTCATGCACATGAAAAGCACTTGCCTTGAGGTCTTGGCCAAGCGTGGTCTTCCTGGCGCCTCGGACGGCGTACGGCACCTGGGTCATGCTCTCCGTACCACCGGCTACAACAACCTCGGCGCGGCCGAGCTCAATTTCCTAGTGACAAGAATGCAGACAATTCAAGATCAGATGTGGATCATGATCACACTGACATGCAGAAAATTAAACATCAGATGCCAGACGCGGTGCTCAATTTCCTGCCATCCAGCGACAAGAATGCAGAAAATGTGAACACTAGATGCCCGACATTGTCACATTCGCATGCAGAAGAAAACACCAGCAGCAAAGCACTGCCACTGAGATGCATGTTTACCACTACAGGGAATGAAGAATTCATGTACATGTACTCTTGCCAGGACTTCCAGACATCAGGCTGCGATTAATAACAGCAACTCAATTGCCTATTAACCCTTTCACTGCCACTGTCGACGAAAGTTGACAGCGCATTCATGCACTCTGAGTGCCACTGTCGACGAAAGTCGACAAGCAAACATGCCGTCCCCAGTGCCACCGTCCACTTTTGTCGACAGGCAGACTTCACCCAGTTTGGGCCGCTATTTTTGGATATTGGAGATGTTTTGCCGTGGTAGAGGGCCACTAGGCCCTAGAAGAGGTCCATACCCATCGAAATACGCTGCCAGGAGCATGGGTTGCCATTTGAAAAAATCGAACCAGCGTCGTTGAAAATGCGCATCTGATTTTTAGCCGAGCGGCGCGGAAGAAAACGGTTCTCACGCACTTCCACCTTGCTGAGTCGGTGCCAGTTTTTTTCTCTTTCCCGTCAACTTTCATTGCAAGGAGCATGACATTTGGTTCAGACTTGATGCCTAGCCATTGCCCAAGACTCCAGGCGGCTATCGATTGCGATAGGCGGTTGGAGTCACGGGTAGAGACAACCACACGACGGATTCCTCACGAACGTATTCACTGCAAACTTGGCGGAAACAGCGCTGCCGGCGCTCAGCGAGTCCAGAACTAACATGTTCTAAGAACTACCACGTTACAATGGCGACCAGCACGGTCAAGAGACACTACAGGTATGTCAGCTACAACATAATTATATTCTTTCTACAACGACACCTACCTCAGGCTCAATACCTGACGATCTACTGCAAGCTGATGCGAAAGTGCATTACACTCGCGAACGCCGCGCTTGTCAACGGAACAGGGAAGCGCTTCACTCTCCGAAGTCGAAATGTATTCGGACTGCTGCTGATCGGGAGAACAAACGACCACCATGGCGGCAGAACATTCCGCAGCTGTTCACAGACACGATCCGCTTCACCAAACGACTAACGATCGTTTCGTTCTC